GCGGTGCGGGCAGCTGCGTGGCGAGGTGCAATCCATCCAGAGCAGCGAGGGGAGGACAGGCAGACAGGGAGGGAGGAGGCGTGGCACGGTGGCGCGCGCGCGCGCCGGCCACACTCCGTTCCCCTGTCGGGAAGGAAGACGACAGAGGAGGGGGGCCTGGTGGGCTGGGCCACCTCCTGGCTGGGCCGGCCTGCTGCGGCTGGGCTGCACAGGGGAAGCCCCAGGTAAGCCCCTCCTTCTTTTATTTCTGTTTTCTATTTTTTTCTGACATTTGTTTGATTTAATAAAAATATTAAATCATTTTATTTTATTATGCCAATTTTTGCAGGAGCTGGATATAATATTCCAGAGCGCTTTTATAAATGGCATAATTTTTGGGCCATAATTCATATATATAGAAATATATTCCCAATGCAAATATTTATCGAATTAATCCAAATAGCCAAAATAAAATGTCCATGAACTCCTAAAATATTGTTTTGATTTTTATCTCTGTCCAATATTTTTAGAGGGCATCATGAGCATTTTCTTGGACCCTTTTTGGAGAAATTTTTATTTGGGTCATTTTCAAAAAATGATTCTGAGGGTTCCACCAATCCTCATTTCAAAATTAAAATGAAATTTAAATATGATGCACAAAATGGCTAACTAGCCTAGGTCATACCAGACTAGGGATGTGACACCGCTGCGGAAGGGGACGATGTCGAAGATTAACTCCTCGCTTCGGAAATTGTCCAAAGATGCGAAGACCACTTATAGTGTGATTGAGCCCGTACAACAGGCCTCCACACCGGGTATGACAGCCTTGATGGTGGTTTTTGTGGGCTTGATCCTTGAGGGGTCGATGCCCATTTTGCGTACTGTATCCTGATAGAGCAGGTTTAGGCTGCTGCCTCCGTCCATGAGGACTCGTGTGAGGTGAAATCAGTCGATAATGGGGTCAAGGACCAATGCGGCCGAACCGCCATGACGGATACTGGTAGGATGGTCCCTGCGATCGAAAGTGAGTGGACAAGAGGACCATGGGTTGAATTTTGGGGCGACTGGCTCCATCGCATAGACGTCCCTTAGTGCACGCTTCCGTTCCCGCTTGGGGATATGGGTTGCGTATATCATATTCACTATTTTCACTAGGGAGGGAATTTCTTCTGTCCTCCCGTGTTAGGCAGTCGGGGCTCCTCGTCGTCGTTGCTATGCAGCCCCTTTTCCTTGTCTTTGGCATTCAGCTTGCCGGCTTGTTTAAGCACATAGCATTCCCTGTTGGTGTGGTTGGATGGTTTATCAGGGGTGCCGTGAATTTGACATGAGCGGTCGAGTATGCGGTCCAAACTGGACGATCCCAGACTGTTTCTTTTGAACGGCTTTTTCCGCTGTCCAGATTTAAAGCCTCTGAATCCGGCATTGACTGCCGTGTCTTCGGCGTTGTCGGCTTTTTCCTCTGTCTCCGACGCTTGTGTCTATTCCGTCGCGGCTTGCCGTTGCTATCTCTGGCGTCTGAATCGCCTGAGTTTTTGGGTGTGATGTTGCTGCGAGCCAGCCAGCTGTCCTCACCCGCTCAGAAGCGGGTCATGAGTGTTGTAAGGGCTGCCATGGACTTTGGCTTCTCTTGGCCGAGATGTCGGGCGAGCCATTCGTCGCGGATGTTGTGCTTGAAGGCCGCTAAGGCTTTGGCATCCGGACAGTCGACAATTTGGTTATTTGTTGTTAGGAATCGAGTCCAGAATTTCCTGCCTGACTCTTCGGGTTGTTGGGTTATGTGACTTAAGTCATCAGCGTCCGGTGGTCGCACGTAAGTGCCCTGAAAGTTATCGAGGAACGCATCTTCCAGATCCTCCCAACTGCCAGTGGAGCTTGCTGGCAGGCTATTCATCCAGTGCCGAGTCAGTCCTTTGAGCTTAAGTGGGGTAGGTACTTTATGGCATGTAAGTCATCACCGCGGGCCATGTGAATGTGGAGAAGAAAATCTTCGATCCATACTGCGGGGTCTGTTGTGCCATCGTATGATTCGATGTTTACGGGTTTAAACCCTTCTGGGAATTCGTGATCCATAACTTCATCAGTGAAGCATAGGGGGTGTGCGGCGCCTCTATGCCGGGCTACATCCCGACGTAGTTCAAATGAATCTGGTATGTTGTATTCGGCCCGACCGGACTTTGGTTTATTGCATCCGGCGTGACGGTCATCGTCACGTCTTGTGGCGCGCCCCCGTGATCCGTAGATTGATCTTGACTGTCCTGCTTTGTTTTCCAATACATCTTATAGGTCCTTCGTGTAGCCCCGGACCTTAGTGTTATTGTTTGATTGGCCACGGGGTGCGGTCTGGTCTTCGGGCTGGTACGCCACTTTGTCACGGCCACGGGGTGGCCGTTCAGCCGCATCATGCGCTGGTAGCGTGGGCTTTAAAGCCTTCTCCTCGAGTTGAGGTAGCAGTCTGCGCTTTGGGTAGCTTTTGCTAGGGCGCTCGAGTCCGTATTCCTCGGCAGCCAGGACCTCGGTCCATCTGTCAGTTAGCAGATCTTGATCAGCTTGAAGCAGTTGCTGATTTTTCTTCAGGCTTTTTGCAGTGGCTATAAGCCGACGTTTGAAGCGCTCCTGCTCGACGGGATCCTCTAGCACGATGAATTCTTCATCGCCCAGGCTTGCTTCGTCTTCGGAGAGAGGCATGTAGTTATCGTCCTCTGATTCTCCATCAGTTGCCTACTCTTTAGGGCTAGCTTGCCCATCCTCCTGCTCGGCCTGCTCGAAGCCTAGCTGGGCAGGATTGTCTTCATCTTCGGCACCGTCCGGATTGTTATCTCTTGTGCCAGTATCACTATTTTTGCTATGGCGGGGCTTGGACCGGCACCGATGACGCCGGTGTCTAGATTGCTTCCCCAAGGGGTTATCTTCCGTTGCCTCATCGCCATTGTTTTCTTTAGGGGTGTCCACCATTTAAATATCATATGATGACGTGGCTGTCCAGCGCCCTATAGGCAGTAGTTCCTGTTCTTCTCCTGCATTGTTGTCCATACCGTCGATGTCTTCGGAGTCGAAGTCAAGCACGTCGGTTAAGTCATCGACAGTGACTATAAAGTGGGTGGTGGGTGGGGGATGAATTTCTTCATCGCCCGCTCCCCACTCGAGCTGGACATAGTTCGACCAAGTATCTCCTGACAAGGAAAGAGACCTTAATGAGTTCAGCACATCACCCAAGGGCGAGTGCTGAAAAATATCCGCGGCGGTGAACTCCATGACCGGTGCCCAATCAGATTCGATAGGCACGGACGCACGCGGTTCGGATCCTATGGCCGGAGACGAGTCTGAGGGTCGGATGACACCACCCTCACAGGAGGTGGCGTCGGTGTTCGGCTTCGACGCCAATGAGTGTGCGGCTTCCGTGGCGGGGTCCATCCACCCGCCTTTGGAAGGCACGACCTGCTCCGGATTGATTCCCGGTGCCACCGCAGGCGCGATCTCCCAAATATTGCTCGACGGCAGATCAAGGTCATGCCCGTCGTGACCGTTCGGCGCACCTGTCATAGGCTCGAATCCGTCGAATATCAAGTCTCCGCGGGTGTCGGTAGTATAGTTTAAGCTTCCAAACCCGACCTGATGGCCAGGGGCGTAGCTATCGATCTGCTCTAGATGGCCAAGCAAGTTGGCACGCAGTACGTAGCCGCCGAATACGAAGATCTGTCCGGGAAGGAAAACCTCCCCATGGACCGCATCGTTGAAGATGATCGAAGGAGCCATCAAGCCTTACAGCAACGGCACAATGGAACTCTCAATGAAAGCACCAATGTCGGTGTCAAAACCGGCGGATCTCGGGTAGGGGGTCCCGAGCTGTGCGTCTAAGGCTAATGGTAATAGGAGGCAGGGGACACGATGTTTTACCCAGGTTCGGGCCCTCTCGATGGAGGTAATACCCTACTTCCTGCTTGATTGATCTTGATGATATGAGTATTACAAGAGTTGATCTACCACGAGATCGTTGAGGCTAAACCCTAGAAGCTAGCCTATGATTATGATTGTTGTTGTCGTACAGACTAAATCCTCCGGTTTATATAGACACCGGAGGGAGTTAGGGTTACACAGAGTCGGTTACAGAGAAGGAAATCCACATATCCGAATATCCAAGCTTGCCTTCCACGCAAAAGAGAGTCCCATTCGGACACGGGACGAAGTCTTCAATCTTGTATCTTCATAGTCCAATAGTCCGGCCAAAATATATAGTCCGGCTGTCCGAGGACCCCTTAATCAAGGACTCCCTCACCATGCTCTCCTTTTCGGGGAAATGCCAACATAAATACAAGCAACCATCCCCCTCTACTTCCACGCCGCAAGGTGATTAATGCCCATAACTACAACAGTTACAGGTGTAAATGGTCACAACCACGGCAGTTACAGGTAACGGTAGATATGACTCTGCTTAAAGCTCGACTTAAGACTACTCGACCGTTGCTGCTCCCACGTCGCCGCTCTGCCTTCCTTGTCGGAGTGGTGGTGGCCGGGTCGATTGGCGGGAAGACGTCCGAGTGCCATCGATTTATCCGAGTGGATGTTTGGTTACGCGCATCCGAATGTGCTTACGGTCCAGGGACCTACCAATGATGGTGTGGGACCCTAGATGGGCCTTAGATTGTCAAGTACTTGACCCTACCAGTGATAGGTAACCCCATCACCTGTATCATGTCCGCGGACAACGTCCGAACAAAAAAACGGGCATATACTGGAGGGATTTGCGGGTCGGCGTTGAAGATGCCCGCAATATGCTAAAATGTTCAAACTCAAGGTTGGAAATGCAACAACAAAAGTCCACCGTCGGTTGCACGGTAGATGGTTAGGATAAATTGGGGACGTCCCACTCCCAGTGGACGTTGGAAAACTGCGTTCCATAGCTACCGCCTGCCTTGCCACTGCCGCTCCACTCCCACTTGCCAATTTCACAGACCAAACCCAGTCTTTAAGCTTCTCTCGGACACACACCACGGTCGGCTCACAGTCGGGACCAAGAACCATCGATGGACGACAAGCCTTCCTTGGCGCCGAAGCCCAAAACCAAGGCCGCCGTGGCGGCGGCTGCCGCGCCAGCGCCGGCAAGGACGACGCCGGCACTGAAGAAGCCACCCCTCGCGCCCCCGCCGCAGATGATCCCGCTAAAACCGCCGCCGGCGCACCATTACAGACAGCAGCGCGGCGGAGGGGCGCCGCGGAAGAGGCATCGCAGCGGCAGCGGGTGCTCCGGCCGCCGCGTGTGCTGCCTCGCAACCGGGTTCCTCCTGCTCGCGCTCTGCCTCGCGGTCGCCGCGGCCTGCCTGGCGTACCTCTGCTACCACCCGCGGCCGCCGTCGTTCCACCTGCAACCGGTCTCGACGACGCGGTTCCGCGTCGGCAACTCCTCCGCGGTGTCGGCCATGGACGTCACGGCGGCCGTGAAGGTGGTGTCCTGGAACCCGAACGACAAGATCGCCTTCGAGTACGGCGACGGCGAGGGCCGCGTCTACCTAGCCGACAGTGACGGGGACATCACGCTGGGGTGGGCGCCCGTGGAAGGCTTGGAGCACGGTGCCCGGAAGGTGGCGGTCGTCAGGTTTGTGGCGACCGCGAAGGGGGTGGTGGTCGACGAGGCGGTGGCGGCGCGCGTGCGCGACAGGTACCGGCGGCGGCGGCTCGCGTTCAAGGTGGTCGTGGACACCCACATGGGCGTCCGGGTCGGGGCCGTGCGCACCGGCATGGTGCCCGTGAGGCTGTCCTGCGACGACGGCGTCATGGCGCCGCGCGGCGTCTCCGCCGGGAGCCCAATGAGCAGGTGCCAGGTGTACCTCCTCAGAATGACATGGTAAGCTGATCGTTCTTCCATTTCTTATCTCTGTTACGTTGCTGGCTTGCGCTTGCACAAACTATTCTCAAAATTTGCATGAATGAATATGACTTTGATACGCATATCAGATGAGAAACCTGAACTAGTAAAATAGTTACTACTCCCTCCGATCGGAAATACGTTTTGTGGTTTCAGTTCAAATTTGAGTAGAACACTTGGTGATGGATGACTTGTTTGACAATTCATGTGCGATGAGGCTTAAAGGTGCAAATCCGTAAAGAGAAACCTGGGTGATACGCATGGTATCACTCTCAGAACTCATACTTCAAGTGAAGCGTATTTGCGACTTAGAAATTTCATTTCCTGCAAAAGCCATTATAAACAATTCTGCTTAATCTCGAAATGAACCTAACATGCAAATCAATTTGACATGTTGATTGGAGCAAAACTGATCCATCCACCCATCCAGAAAGCATCGACCATCTGTCATCGATCCCAAGCACAAGGAAAGATTCCACAAGTCAATGGGGAATTGGGACAGAAGCCAAAGATTAGCGCATATATTCGTACGACCACGACATGTCATTGTCGTCTAGGGGCGCCTACAGATTTAGTACTCCTACGTAAAAGTGATGCGAAGCAAGACACATATTTTGTGGCCTACAAGATGCCCCAGGCACAGGCAGGCCACTGTATGCAGTCAGTGTAGACCATCCAGATAGATCCGTGGAGTGGATAGTGGATACACAACGGAGACGGGGCATCTGCCTTGCTTGATGACCGACGACTATGAGAAGCAAAAGCTAACCCAGGATTCGCTCTGTCCCTCCCTAGCTTAGCTTGTGCGTACGCTTAATTACATCGCACGCATCACCGTACACACGAACAGAAAATTGTTCTTTACTTCCGCTCATGGTACGACAGTTAGCATTTCAAGTGAATCCACACTTGAATGTTAGCTGCTGGCTCCGTTTCGAAAAAAAAAATGTTAGCTGCTGGCCGCACGGTGCTGGTGCTGCAACCAACTTCTGCAAGTTGACACCCCACCTGGACCATCAGGTAGCTCCCATGAATACCAAGATACTACTTCGTAATAAGTATATTTATTTATTTTGCAAAATGTACAACGTATGGTATGGAGGACGAATGGGGAAACTCTTTGGAGACATTGGATCCTATAGATGAGAGCAACATGATTGGTGGCATCCGTATTGGTACAGCTACAACTGTACTGGTAAGGACCATGTGTCCAAAACACACACTCATAGCACCAACCTTTGGATTACTACTTGCGTTATCAGAGACAGACACCTACTTCATCTCAACCACTGACCATTTTTTCGTCTCAAATAAAAAAAGGTTACTCGCCATTTCATCGGGTGGCAAACAAAAGATGAAAAGCTTATTTCTGAGAGGATAGTGTCGCAAAATCGTGTAAAACCCGGCAAATCATTGAAAACTAGCGGATTGAAATCGAATCAAATCTAATTTCATCATTGCAGTACCAAACTCATTTTAAAGACAACGATCATTTATATTTCAGGTTTGGCTTGAACTGAAGGCACATCCGGCGAAGGATATTTGCTGCTAGCTGCAGAACCGAGGAAATGTCAGGGGCCCCTAAGCTGTAGGTGCTCCAATTATTTGAGTTTTCTGCCGATGATATGATGTACAACTGGTTTGATTGAAACTAATTGTTGGCGTCTTGGAGTACATGCCGATTGATGCTTAAATATAGTCTCAAGGCTCTCAACTGTGAAGCTTTCAGGAGTTCAGCAAACAAGCATGTAACTGTATATTGCTCCCAGTTCTTTTGATTGTGTGGTACAGATACGTACGTACAAACATACAAGGAATGAAATGGTCATGTGGTGAACGATTTGGTGGTCTGTTTTGTTGCTTTGGATCATCTGCTTAGTTACTGAATCAGGTAGAAAGACAACGCCAACTGAAATTTAAATTAGTCTCCTCACTCTACGGACCAATTTTCAAGACCCAGTTTGTGTGCCAAGATCACAAAATACTGTTACTTGCTGCTTCTTCTTTTTTGCGGGGTAAAATACTGTTACTTGCTCATCTACCTTATCTAAAAAGAGCAACTTTCCAAAACATTTCAGTAAATTCAAAAAAAAAATGGAATGTTTGCGGTTCATGCAAAATTCATCACCAAATCACATTGGTTGAACGTGTGACAAAAAACAAAATCTATGCTCTGAAAATGGTACTTTCAAACACATTTTCGAGCTCTGATTTTGTTTTTCTTTCACCACTTCCACCAATGTGATTTCATGATGAATCTTTGCATGCACTTCAAACATTCCTTAAAGTTTGCCACACAAATATTCAGAATTTTTTATTTTTTTTCTATTTTCTTTGATTTTACTGTTCACACCAGGAGCATTTGAGCTCGAGCTGAGAAAGGCACTTCCACAAGTTTGACTCCTTTTGCAACGTGGGACGTCCAATTCAATACGCACATTCTGCGTGCTCTCTCGACTTCCCTCTCCGATCATTGCACATTATTACTTATGATGATCGTGGGCCTAGAAGGCCGCAGACTTTCAAATTCGAAAACTTTTGGACCTTCATTCCGGGCTTCACCGACGTGGATCAAAAAGCATGGGCTGAGCCAACCCCTCGTGTGGATCCATATCATGTGCTACACCATAAATCCAGAAAGACTGGTACAAGACAAATCGAGTGGAGCATGAGGCTCTTTTCTAAATCAAAGGTGCATCTTCATGCTGCACTTTTGATAATCTTACACCGCGCAAGAAGAGCGGCCTCTCTCCACTGGGGAGCAAGATCTTCGTCCCAAGGTCAAGAGGGCGTTATTAGTCTTTCGGTGATCGAGAAGGCTCAAGAAAAACAATGTGCTAGGATGAAAAACCTCAAGGAGGGAGACGGCAACACCAAATATTTTCACTGGAAGATCAATGCCCAGAGGGAAAAAAAGCAATATAATCAAGCACAACCACGATTGAGTCACCAAACATGAGCTTAAAGAGGAGATAATCCACAACCATTTCTCCGAGTTGATGGGATGGGGGACCGCAAGATACTTAGACCTCAATTGGGATGAGCTTGTTAGTGCGCCGCATGAACTCTCGGACTTGAACCTGTTAGATCCATCGGGATCGCATGTGTTGGATATCCACGGTAGAGTGGGCAAGCTCGACCTCGAGCCGGAGGCCATCCTGGTGTTGTGGCGCATTGTGATGGCGAAGAGTGGGCGAGGTGGCGGCGGCGGCGATGTGTGGGCAGTGGCGGCGGCGGAGCTTCCCGTCACTGTCAGCGCAAGACCTAGATCGGGTCGGGTGTTTCGGTGGGGAGCCTGGCAATGCGGTGAACCTCGTACAACGTGCCGGCGGCCCCCACCTCTTCATGTAGCGCTGCGTGACAGGGGCCCGTCAACCATATTGCGGTTGGGCGCCCCCGATCAGGGCGCGGATCAGGGGTCCAGTGGGCCGTTGGGCCCACATGGGAGAGATCAACCTAACATTCTCCCCCTTGATCTAAACTTTTACTTTTAACCTTATACTTTCTAGTTTATTTGTTTCATCAAATATTGATACATAGAGCATGTTTCATCGTCACAACTTAATTGCCGATAGAATCATACAGCTACAACATACGTTTTGTTTAGAAACAAATTTTGTTCCTTTTGGGCCTCTCATGATCCAGGAATCATAGGCTTTCCCTTAAACCCATGCCGGCTAAGTGTTCCATGAGCACATTGGGTGGTAAGCCTTTCGTTAACGGATCCGCAAGCATATCTTTTGTCCTTATATGCTCGAGACTTATAGTTTGATCTTGGATTTTATCTTTCACAACATAATACCTTATCTCTATTGTTTTGGCAGCATTACTCGACTTGTTGTTGTGAGCGTAAAATACTGCGGGTTGGATGTCACAGTACATCTTTAGTGGTTTGTGAATAAAATCTACCACTTTCAAGTCGGATACAAATTTCTTTAGCCATATCGCCTGCCCCGTGGCCTCGAAGCATGCTATAAACTCTGCATACATCGTGGATGATGCAACTATCTACTGCTTAGAGCTTTTCCATGAAATATCTCCCCCAGCGAGGGTGAATACGTATCCTGACGTGGATTTTCTATCATCTCTTTCCCCCACAAAAATTGTGTCTGAATACTCTTTTATCTCTAGGGAATCACTTCCCCTGTATATTAGCATGTAGTCCTTCGTGCCTTGCACATAACGCAATGCTTTCTTTACTATCTTCTAGTGCTCTATGCCTGGATTCTCTTGATATCTACCGAGTACCCCCGTGATAAAAGCTAAGTGTAACGCCCTCAATGCGGCTATAGCTCCCACGTGTCGAGGCACGACTTAGAGGCATAACCGCATTGAAAGCAATGTCGCAAGTCAGGCAATCATTACCACATCCCATGTAATATATAATAAAAGGGGGAGATAACATAGTTGGCTTACACTCGCCACGTCACATCAGAGTACATAAATAACATCCATCAAACAAACACTCATGGCCCGACTACGGCGCCAAAATAGAAAAGAACCCAACGTGCGACAAGATCCTGAATCGATAACCCCAACTAGGCACCACTACTGATCATCCGGAAAAGACACATAGTATCGCTGAGAGTCCTCGTCGAACTCCCACTTGAGCTCGTACTCGTCACCTGGAGCGGAATCACCTGGACCTGCATCTGGAGTTATAGTATCTGTGAGCCACAGGGACTCAGCAATCTCGCACCCTCGCGATCAAAACTATTTAAGCTCATAGGAATGGATAAGGCAAAAATATATGTGGTTCTGCAGCAAGCGACTAGCATATGTGGTGGCTAACTTATACGCAAAAGAGAGCGAGAAGAGAAGGCGAAGCACGAGCGAGAAGCTAAGGGAACATCCTGCGCAAGCATAACTCCAACACCGTGTCCACTTCCCGGACTCCGCCGAGAAGGGGCCATCACGGTAACACACACGGTTGATTCATTTTAATTAAGTTAAGTTAAAGTTATCTACAACCGGACATTAATAAATTCCCATCTGCCCATAACCGCGGGCACGGCTTTCGAAAGATCAATCCCTGCAGGGGGGTCCCAACTTAGCCCATAACAAGCTCTCACGGTCAACGAAGGAATAGACCTCCACCCAAGACACACCGATCAGACTCGGTATCTTGGTACAACAAGATGATTCGACAGGTTAAAACAAGTCCAGCAACACCGCCCGAATGTGCCGACAAATCCTGATAGGAGCTGCACATATCTCTTTCTCAGGGCACGCTCGGATAGGTCAAGCTACGAGTAAAACCAACCCTCGAGTTTCCCCGAGGTGGCCCCGCAGGCTGCCTGGTTCGGACCAACACTCAGAGGAGCACTGGCCCGGGGGGGTTAAAATAAGATGACCCTCGGGCTCCGGAAACCCAAGGGAAAAAGAGGCTAGGTGGAAAATGGTAAAACCAATGTTGGGCATTGCTGGAAAAGCTTTAATCAAGGCGAACTATCAAGGGGTTCCCATTATAGCCCAACCGCGTAAGGGACGCACAATCCGGGAACATAACACCGATATGACGGAAACTAGGGCGGCAAGAGTGGAACAAAACACTAGGCGAGAGGCCGAGCCTTCCACCCTTTACCAAGTATATAGATGCATTAAGATAACATAGCAATATAATGATATCCCAACAAGTAAATAAATGTTCCAACAAGGAACGGCTCCAATCTTCACCTGCAGCTAACAACGCTATAAGAAGGGCTGAGCAAAGCGGTAACATAGCCAATCAACGGTTTGCTAGGACAATGGTGGGTTAGAGGTTCAATCATGCAATTGGGAGGCTGACAAGCAAATGGTAGGCATCGTAGCAGTGACAAAGCAAAAGAGCGAGCAATCTAGCATAGCAAAGATAGTAGTGATTTCGAGGGTATGATCATCTTGCCTGCACAGTTGTCAGAGTTGACTGGATCCTCACAAGCAAACTCAACGGGCTCCTCGGTAGCGAACTCGTCTCCCAGCTCTACCCAACAAGACAAACAAGCAACAAGGATACAATCAACTACGGGCAAGACCAAGCAATATGATGAAATGACGATATGCTTTGCGGGATGCGATGCGGGATGCAAAATGCAAGATATGACAGGAAATGCATGAACCTGGCATCAACTTGGAAAACCAAGTGTGCCACTGGATAGAGGGGATGAAATCGCTTGAAAACGATATAAAGATTATTGGAATCGGAGCTACGGTTTGGAAATGGCAAGCGTTTTAAGATATGACACCGGTATGCGATTTACAGAAAGTAGGCATCTAAATGCAACGAAATGAACATGCTACAGCCACCAAACATGAAAACAAAATACATGGCAGTGATGTACACAAGATGGTTGACAAAACACTAGCACTGAGCCACGGCCAATTCATCCATTAAGAGGTTCAAACAAGCATGGCTAAAACGCAAATGCAAAACAGATTCCAGACTTAGTGAAATTAACACTAGTCTGAAATTTCAGATCACGATGCTCTCTTCGGAGCAGCAAAACAACATGATAGAAAACCTGAACATGACAAGTAAGAACATGGCATGGAGCTACTCAACAAGCTTAACAA